ATCTTTAGGTAGGTGTATCGTATAGACGATGTTATTAGCTTTCGTATTAATCCATGTTCAATTGATTTTATTTTATTCATATTTTCAAAATAAAATATTATGTATATATTTTAAAAATCTGTTTATTGTTTTTCACTTTCTGTATAGTTGCGGAATCTGAATATGAGGTAAACTATAGTTGTATTGCAAGGCTTTAGATAGTTAAAAGCTGAAACTTTCAGGAGACTAATATAATTTTGTAAAATTCCAGTCCTTTTTAGAGAGAGATGCAATAGTTTCTCTTGTTGAAATTTTCTACAAGTTAAATTATTTTGTATTTTCTTATATTGACATATATATTTGTGGGAATATGAGGGTTGCACAGGGTTGTGATGTTGAATTACGAAATCTTGATTCTTGACTGGTAGCTGTTGCAGAGTGGAAAAGCATAGGTTCTGGTGATTGATTCAAAAGAGTACCTTTGGAGGTTACGTCTTGTTTAGTCTAAATGGCTAATCCATCTAAGAGGTGGATTGATGGTCTTCAATTTTCATCACTGTTCTGGTCACCACCACAAGACCCTCAAGAAAGAAAGGTATGGCGTCGTCCTCATCCTGTGCACGAACCTTTCTGGATTATTAGATACTTTTTGCATCTTTAAATCATTTTAATCGCCTCCTTGGTTTACCTGAAAACTTAATTAGTGAAATAGGTTGCAGAATTTGAATATGTTACTGGATGTTAGCTATAGTAGATATTGAGTGGAACATGCGTTCTGATATGGTACAATTTGAAGCAAAGAGAGGAAAGTTAGTTTCCTATGTCTGCAAGGAAGAAAGCCCGTTTGCAATCTCGCTTATTCTTATTAGATTTTTAAAAGATATATTTAAGTGAAATTGCATACTATTTAGAACAAATATGAATCTGAATTCTGAAATGAGAAGATAAGCTCTGTCTATTACTACTTTAATTCATAGGAAAGTTTGCTGCTTAAAATTCCTGGCATGGTTGAGGCAGATACTCGAGTCGTTTTACAAATCTATCACGTGTAAAACATTGTATTTGCATTCAGATGTGGTTTGAGTTGGGTCATTTGGTGTCCAGATTATTGGCTTCTCAAGTTTATCCTGGTTGGACATGTCTAAAAGCTATACATCATGTTATCATTTCAAGATTCTTGTAGACCTCTTAACTAGGATAAAAGTTCATTTTGGAGATAGTGATCTATCGAACAAGGAATATACCTTGAAATAGAAGTTGAAGGATTGTGATAGTGGTATTTAAAGAGTATGATAGAATTGGCTTTACAGTTGGAAGAGGTTGACTATCTATGAATATTTTTGCTATATAAAGGTTTTTTGAAATGTACTTGAGGGATCATTACAAAGTTCATGTACATAAAACGTCATTTTGGTTGAATCAATCACTTGAAAACAAGCAAGAATGTGTTTTTAAATTGTGTTGATCAATCCATGTCTTTCTACTCCTTTCAATTTACATGTTTATCTCTTGCTAATATAAGTTCATATGCTTTATTATGTTCCCCTTTGTTTAGATTCAAATTATTTCTTATGTTGAGTATTTCGGGCAATTTACATCAGAACAGTTCCCTGAGGATATTGCTGAGGTATGTTTGTTTTGTACAGCCATTTCACCCTTGCTGACTGTGAAGGAAAATATGCTTAACTAATTTGTTTAGTATCAATTTTTCAACGGAGGAAGTGTTTGATGGTTAAGGATTTATATATCTAACAGAATTTTGTTGTTCTTGTAATAGCTTATTCGCAGCCACTATCCATCGAAGGAGCAACGCCTTTTTGATGACGTTCTTGGTACTAGCTCTTTCTTCTTCTGCACTATTGTACAATCCATAATGATTAAACCTTTAAATTAATATACTTAAAAGATATTACTTATGGTATGTGATTGAGAATGATCGATACTTTAAAACGATTGGTTTGCAGCAACTTTTGTCCTTCATCATCCAGAACATGGGCATGCAAGTTTTTCATTCAACAAAGAAGATATTTGCTTCACAAACTGCTTTTTATTTTTTTCCTCCTATTTTTCCTTTTATATATTAGATTTGCAATGCTCTTTTTATCTACTTTTTTTCTCCCCACCAAATAAGGAATCATTGAGACTGACCAAGAACATGTCTATTGCATTTGTCTTTTTTCACAGAATGAGTATTCTGAACAGTGGGCTCTAGCATGTGGAGAGATCTTGCGAATTCTGACTCATTACAACCGCCCGATATAATGAAACCACAAAATAGTGAACCAGATAGGAGCCATAGCAGCAGCCAAGCCACGACAAGTGAACCCGTAGATGGGGAACCTTCCTTTCATAAACCTTTGATGCAACAGGAGAGGAAGCCTTTAAGACCTTTGTCTCCTTGGATTACTGATATATTGCTTGCAGCACCTTTGGGTATCAGAAGTGATTACTTCCGTTGGTGAGTGCCTTTTACTATAGTTTTATATTTTCCTTTCCTTTGGTGAGTGCCTTCTCGATTTTTGAAAATATTTTTGAACTCTTTCTTAATTTTATAGTGCAAGTGATGGGTGTGTTTGAGCCTCTTAGGTTATTAAAAGTAAGGAAAAGAGTAAGAAAATTTGCTCTTTTTTTATGAGGATAAAATATAAAAGAAATTATATTTAACAAAATTATGTTATAAATTTTTTAAGACTATTTACATGCCGGTATCTTTTTTCAGACACTTTTTATCGAGAATCCAAAAGTTTCAGCAAATAGCAAGTGTGACAGTTAGACACATACTGATATGAGATACCTGTACCAGAGTCCATGAAACATAGCCAATAAGTTGCCAGTTCATTCTGGTAAATTTCTGTTGTGATGATTTATGCTCCAAAAAATTGAAGAAGGCATGTTGAAAGTTAACAAATATTTCTTATGAGAATTGTTGGTATATCCTTAGTCTGCAATTATTACAACAACTCCACTGTCACAAATGCTTGGAACAGGTTAATCATTGGAATTATCCCAAGGATTTGTTGAGAAAGAATCATTTTTTTTGCGGATAGGAGCTGCTAATTTCACTTTTCATATTTTTTTTCAACCAGGATATAATCAAACCACTTGTTTATTATATTTTAAAACACGGATGTTGGGTGACTTTGTTGATTTAAATTTTTTGTTTACTGGTAGATACATATATACAGATAAGCATCTTGGATACATTCCCATTGTCTACCTTGGCTTTCTTTCCCTTTTGTCGATGCTACTGGTTGTTCACATTTTATAGCATGTATTGCATTTCACAAGCACTATGATTGGTTCCAAATGTGAGCATTTCTCTTAGGACTGGTGTGTAGGTAAATGTGAGCATTTCTCTTAGGACTGGTGTGTAGGTCTTCTACTTTCTCCTCTACGCTTTTTGCCGAGGCTTGAATAGTGGGCAGAGGACTTTTATTTGCTCATCTACAGAAGATGTGCTTTTGAGTTTTAAGGTCACTCCTAAGTAATTACATAGTAGTTGAATTTATCATATAACTGTCATCGACTTAGTTCCCTTGTGTGATTCATCCTATGAGTAGACCTCACCGCCTAGAACTCTATGTGCCTATTTCTGAAGCTGACTTGGATTAAATGTTAACAGGTGCAGTGGTGTTATGGGCAAATATGCAGCTGGGGACCTCAAGCCACCTACTACTGGTTAGTTTGATATTTTGTGCTCGAGTATATGACATGATTATAACGCTGATGTGACCTTTAAGATGAAGTTTGTTTTTAAAATATTAAAAAAGATTTTATCATAATAGACTAAACAAATATATGAGCAATAGATGAAGGTATCAGTAAATAAGTCGAGCCTTCAATTATTAAGTTGAAAAAGTTCTAACAGATTGAATAATTAGAAGAGATAGAAATACCAGATTAAGGCAAAACATAAAAGTAATACACACTTCTCTGCGTATCATACATATCACATATATATGTTGCGAAAATCATCAATAAGAACAAGAACTATGGATGTTTAATAGCTATGGCCAATCAAAATTTGGGTATAAGTGATGGGATATATCTCTCACTTCTTAATCGATCAAATATTACTTTACTGCAACTGATTTTATGTACTATATTCGTGGAGGGGTTCATCTAAAGAAATCCGTTTTCTAGAGAATATGTGGTTTAGAAAATTCTTTCAAGGCAGAAGGGATTATATTCACTTTTTCATAAGGATTGATTTGCATGTGACCGGTTGATAAGTTGAAAAATTTTGTTCTCTTTTTGTTGGCAGTAAATACATTGATGCCAAGCCGGGCAACATTCTGTTGTAAACTGACTCGAAATAATTTTTTTTTTGTTCCAGTAGAAAAACTTGTGCAAGGAAAGCTTATTTTGATGTGCTTATTGCTTAGTAGGGTCTTGTTTATGCTAATTTTTATTTGTGAACTGTGTATCATTCTCTTCATGTTCCCTCTTTTAAATTTAGTCGGGTCTTACGTTACTGTCTATATGCAGAGATTTTTACGCAGGGATTTATTTGCAGGGATTACTTTTCATTACAGACGCGAATATAAAGACTGCATATGAAGGCTGTTCAACTATGTATTTATTTATTTATACATGCATTGCATTTTATCTTTATTCTTAATTTTCTAACTGCCGGAGGTCTTCCACGGAAGCTGCTCTCAACTAGGGGTGTAAACGAGCCGAGTCGAGCTCGAGTATTGTCGAGCTCGACTCGAACTCGAAAACTTTAAATGTAGGCTCGGCTCGACTCGAAAACTTGAGAGCCTAAAATTTTCAAACTTGACTCGAACTCGAAAGGTAATATTGAAACTCGACTCGAACTCAAAAAGGCTCGAACTCAAAAAAAATTCAAGAGCTCGATTGAAGCTCGAGACTCGAGCTCGATTTTGAGCTCGATTCAAGCTCGAACTTGATTCAAACTCGAACTCAAACTCGAATTTGAGCTCGATTCAAGCTCGAACTTAAACTCGAATTTAAACTTACAAAAATCTTATATTACATTCAAAATATATAAATAATTTTCCCTTCAAGCTAGATTCTCTTTACATCAAAACCCAAATTAAATTAAAACACTAGTCCCCACGTAAAGCACGACAACCAAGCAGCAACGCCCATACCTTGTTGCCCAAGCACCACCCATGAGCAGACAAAGGCTCGGCTCCCCATCCAGCCACCCATGCTCCTACTTGAAGAACACCAGCAGCTAATTAATTGAGCTGCATTGGTCTTGCCAATTCCAGCACCCCAAGCAAGACCCACATCGTGCCCATATCTGCCCATGCCTTGCTCTACAAGACCCCGTGCCATACTGTCGGCCACGAAGAGGAGATCTATGCACTGTTCGTACCATCCATGCTCAGGGGGACGGAAACCAGAATCAACAACAGAAAAAAATCAACAGCAAATAGGGGCATCAACGATTAGCAAGAAAACACTTGCTCGGTTCTTTGGGGATACGGCTTAAAAGAAGTGAAAGGAATAAGCTATGTTTTACCTTTGTGTTCCATATTTCTGATAGGTGAGCACAAAGACTAGGGTGAAGATCATGTGTGATGAAAAACTCAAATCACCACAACCATATACTGCAGCTTGAGGAACTGCAAAAGTTTGACAAGCAATAGATCAAAAATAATTAATAAGTAAACACATTCATATATTTAAAGGCGCTAAACTGAATAATACAATAAAATAAGAATACATACAATTAATTAAGATGACTTCTAGCACATTACTTGGTTTTGGCAACCTGGCAATCTTTGAACCTGCAAAAAACATGTTTGACAAATGGTCTTAAAATCAAATTTCATTCTTATATTATTCTCAGAAAAAAATGTTCAACACAGATAATTTCAACTATATACCTCTCGGCAATGATAATATGGTCCAACAAGCCGAGTAGAATAAAACATGATGATTCGGAGAAACTGAGGAGCCTGCATCAAATAAATAAACAAATATAACAAAGTGTAAGTAAAATACTTGGAATATGCTAAAGGTTGCATGATTTATCAAAAACCATCAAATTTGAAAGTATTTGAACAACTCAACATCGAGTTCAGTTTTAGTAAAAAGGTGATTTATGAAAATGGTGATTCAAGTTGATAGACACCTTTGGTTACGAATAAAAGAATAAAAGAGCTCATCAGCCTTTTTGTAATTGAAATCTATTTAAGAATAAAAGAGCTCAGCAGAGTGAATTACTAGACAGAGAACGAGGACAATTATTCATCTAATATGTAATAGGAGAAACCACCTATGTTTCAGTTGATTCTCATTTAACCACAGTAGCATACATTGGATTAATATGATGGAAGGAAGAACCCCGAGCAAGGCCGTACATCAGGTGCATTCATAAAAAAACACTAAGCACTGATACTCACAACTAAATACGCTAGCACCCTGCATCAAACCAGAACTGTATTGATCTTTTTACTCTTGAAGATGAAAGGATAGAAAGTCCACTGCAAATAGCAATATAGAAGTGAGAACTGGAAAATTGAAAGATTCTAACAGAACATAAATAAAAGGACGGTATTATCATGTATTAAAAATGTAAGAACTGAATAAACTAACGGAATTTTTTTGGGGGGGGTAACCAACTGCAGAATAACCTTACCGAGACAAATGATAAAAAAACAAAAGAGAACACTATCTCACTGATGTAGGCTTTATCTTTGCCTGAACTCCTAAATTTATAAGAAAATAAAATGAGACTGCATTTCACCAAATAATAAATACATAATAGATACAAGCAAAGAGCAAAAGTTAAATAATCTTGTTTTACTGGAAGAAGAAAGTATCCAATATCCTGAAGTGATGGACTGGCTGATGTAAATAATGAATTCCATGGGCAGCTAGACCATGAATGTACTGCAGAGTGTAAATGAACATTTCAGAGCCAAACAAAAGCAACAACCTACGAAATTTCAAGTTCTAAAATGATACTACTAGATTAAGCATACTTCAATTTAGAAGATGTAAACACTAAACAAGGTTGGATGACCCCAAAAAACTTTTGAGAAGCGATGTAAAATAACATACCAGTTTAGGTCATTGCTAAAGCAATTTTATCCATATGAACCATGAATCATGATAGAGATTTATCTTATGCTAAAAGCATAAGCTTTATTAATCCAAGTATAAGAAACCAGGATCACTACAGTTCATCAGATCCTACTTCTTTTTCATAAAAACAAGCATCTTCATTAAACTCTAATGCTTGCTTGCCCACTACACATCCACTGTTAAAAAAGTTTTTTTCCTTTCAATTTTTAGGAAAAAAAGTAAACATTTGAAATTATTCAAGAAAACTAGATATTGCTAATAGAAACTGTGTTTAATTTGAATAAAGATGATAAACAAAATGGAACCTGAAAAATGAGACCGGCAAGAACGTATTTCCAACAGTCTAGAAGAAGATTGATCTCTGTAGTTGTCTCCGCACAAATTCTTTTCCACAACTAGAAGAACAACAATCCAAAAATCAAATCAAAATCCCTAAATAGTTTCCCAATTCTAGAATAGTAAACTAGAAAACAAACACACACCTTTGAAGCTTCGCGACCAATGTAAAGCATCATCTCGTTGTCGTATTACAACCAGTTCCATAGTACTTCAAAACTTAGCAGTTAAGTTCAGCATTTGTTTAAATTATAAACTGCCATTTCCTTCCTCCAATAACCTAGCTTGAAATCTACCCATAACTGAAAATGCCACCTCCTTTATTGATTCTTCAAGCGATCAAACACCGACCACCCCAAGATCAAGAAGGCGAAAGCAAGGAAGACAACGAAAAAGTAAGAGGAAAGGCTTTGTTTGGGTTGCTAGTGACGGGGAGAGGGTTCTGTTTTCATGGTGGCTGTGGGTTTTAAGAGGGTCACGGCGGCGGTCGAAGTGTAGAACTCCGTTGAAGAAAGGCGAGAGGAGCGGCAGTTGCGGCATTGTTTTCTGGTTTGCGTGAGAATGAGAGGGGGAGAGTTGGAATGAATATTTAGTTTAGGTTTATTTTAATTTAGGTTCTAAACCCTAATTAATTTTGGGGTTAATTTTCGTTTAGCCACCGTAACCTTAGGGTAAATTAGCTTTAAGCTCTCTAGATTTATGTGTTTTTGTACAAAAGAGTCCCTCAATTGTTTAAATATTAGCTTAAATTAGTCCTCACATTTAGGTTTTTCTTAATTTAGTCCATGTTTAGGATTGTTTTCTTTAATTAGTTGTGTGTATTTATTTTGCATGTTGATATGTTTATGTATAAGTATGTGAATTATTTATTTATGAGTCACATAACATCATTTTGCATAATTTGTATGTTACCTTCATGTGCATAACTTAAACCCTAAACCCTAGCCTTAACACATAAACTCTAAACCCTAAATCTTAAATGCTATCACTTAAATCCTAAACCCTAAACTCTAAACCTTAAATCATATCACATAAACTCTAAACCATAAATCCTAAACTATAAACCATAAATCCTAAACTATAAACCCTAAATCCTAAACCTTGTCACATAATTAGTTATGAGGTAAGTACAATATAATATCTTAATATTAAATGCTCAAATCATTGATATTTATGATATTTGAACCCAAAACATCAAAATATAACAACAATTTAAAAAATTAGTTATTACAAATATTATCATTAGAAATATATTAAATATTTGTCATTAGATAAATATTTTTTTATTAATTTAAAATAAATATAAGAATATTTATTCAAAAATAATTTTTAACCATTTTCAATTTAAGATTATTTATTCATCAATAATTTATTTTTAATATATTTTTAATAATGTAATTTTAAAAAATCTAAAATTATAATATAACATTTTTTTCGAGCTGCTCACGAGCTTTTCGAGTCTAGTATCGAGTAGCTCGTTTCGGCTCGTTAAGAACTCGAGTCGAGTTCGAGCTCGTGTCGAGTTCATTCGATCCGAGTATTTATCGAGCCAAGATCGAGTCGACCTCGAGTAGCTCGCGATCTGTCTCGTCTCATTTACAGCCCTACTCTCAACCATGTGTTGGGGGCAACCTACTACCCTACCTCTCCCTTACCCCATTACATATGGAATAGGGTTTGTTGTTGTCGTTGTTGTATATTTCGTGCCTTATTTTGTTACCTTGAGGCTTAAGGCATAAGTAAGCGTTCATTGTGTGGTAAAATTATCATGGGAATGTCATAGTGGCCTTACTAGTTACTGTCTTGTTATGATGTTTCCCATTTAATAATTTGATGAGGGAATACTGAAATAGGCCCGTAATTAGTGAATGCGTGTGTGTATGTATATCAAGATAAGAAAATAAAAATGGCCTTAAGTGATTTTTTTCCTAACCACAAATAATAAGATATTTTAGACCTGAGGACTCGTCACTTGACCACCATTTTCCACAGCTTCTTCTCGTGGATCTGGAAAGAATCCTCAGCTCATGCCATCAACTCCAAGATGGGCTGTTGCAAATGGTGCCGGTGTCATTTTAAGTGTATATAATGAAGAGGTTGCACGCTATGAGACTGCTAGTTTAACGGCTGCTGCAGTCCCTGCTCTTCTACTTTCTCCCCCAACAACAGCTTTGGATGAGCATCTAGTTGCTGGGTTACCAGCTCTTGAACCATATGCACGTTTGTTTCATCAGTAAATTGTTTAACCTTTTCTCTTGAACAACATTGCTCAAAGGTTTTCATTCTATACTACACATTTTTCCTTGTGCCCTGTGAACCAAGCAAAGCACTTCCAAATTTATATCAGAAATGTGGATTTTTGAGTAATAGTTTCTTTGTGTTCTTTTGAGAAGGGGGGGGGGAGGGGTTAGGTTACATGGAAAATGCAGTGTTAGCATGCTGTTGTATATATCTTCCTACCCAAATTGCCTTGAACGTGGTTTCTTAAAAAACCTTTTTGACTTCTTAACATTTAAACTTTAGGAATTTTCTGTAATACAAAGTCCTGATATTCTTAAAGCAAATATGTACCACAAAGTACATCTATTATGGATGTAGAAAAATATGATATGTTTGAAAGTAATTTGTTAGAAATTTGTTGGGATGTTTCAAAATGCAATGGAAAAAGTCTGATGTTTTTTTTTCCTTCCAATTTTTTCATTTCTCCTTCTCAGGTAGTATGCTATTGAAACTCCAAGTGCCACCCAAAGACTTCTTCTTGGAATTTTAGAAGCACCACCATCGTGGGCTCGAGATGCACTTGATGCTGCCGTGTAGCTTGTGGAACTCCTTCGGGCTGCTGAAGATTATGCAACTGGTATAAGGGTGAGTTAAATGCTTTTCACTGCATGTATTTGAATACAAATTGACACTTTCCGGCATCAAACTTGAAATTCATGTGGACCTCACCTTTATTATCTTGAATTTTTTCAATCCGTAATTGTGAGATACTAAAGGAAGTTCTGAATTTAGCTTAGTGAACGTGCAAAATTTGTCAACATAGATTGTTCAACTACATGCTAAACAGAATTACGTGAAGGTGCTGGCTAATCCTTATGAGATTAATATGAATAAGAAGGATATGGTCCTTAATAACAAAAATTGGTGGTTGTATCAAGGACTTGGAATTAAATCTCGTCTTTCTAAATGTTTTTGGGAGTTTCCATTGAAACCCCGTTGTTAGCCCAGTCATTAGAAATTGAAAGGAAAATTTATATTAGCAGATCAGAGTTTCTCCATATTTATTCTTGGCATTTCAGTCTTGAAAATGGGTTTTCGTCTCTAATGAAAATACTTGTGAAAATGGGTTGAATAGGTATTTCTAGATGCATGTGAGCTACGTTGTGTGCATCAATTATTCATGAAAGTGTTTTCATTAGAGGTGGCTTCATTCATATAATTATATGTTGAAGTTAAATTTAAGATGTCAAATATGGCTGTTGCTTGGATCCAACTTAAAAGCTGTTTGATGTGGATTTAGACACTACCATGAGTATGTCTTACAAGAAACTCTTAACGTACCCAATACGTGTTAGCTCCTGTTTACAGTTTTGAAGCCCATTGGTCTTAAACACCTATGGCATAGACACTTTAATCTGATGGTATTTTTGGTGTGCTATCGGTCAATGTGGTGGTGTAACCCTTAGACCCGGTCTAAACGTTAGACCCAAAGCTAAGCAGTCACATGTCCCATTCAGAGATTCATTTACATTTAAAACAACTTATAAATCATTAGATATAATACAAAACAAATATCAATAATACAAATATATCCAAAACGATAGCAAAATACATGTCATCAAACACAACTGGAAAACATATAGAGATATATGTTCGTACAAAATAAAGTAGTTGATCTTCCCTGATTCCAAATCTGCTAGCTTACGGTCTGTTGTTATCTTAAAAAGGTTAAAATTTACAGAATGGGCTAAAAAGCCCAGTGTGCTCCAAACAGTGTATAAAAACATATGGATATAATCTTTCAATAAAATCGGTTTTGCAACATGTTTTTTTTATATTAAAAACATAAACACTACCCCCATCCTTTCACAATATGTTTGTGTAGGTTCCCCAGAACCATACACCCCGCACAACCAGTAAGACCATGAGCACACAGTCGAGGAGCCGTAAATAATCTTCCTCCAACAAT